TCGGCGCCGCCGGGATGTTCTGAGGCATAACATCTCTGATCACGCCTTCCTTCGGATGGGAAGTAAAGCCGTTGGTCCCCGGTTCATGAGTTGATGGGTCGATAGGTAGGGTCCAGGTGTGGGAGCAGCCTTCCTGGCACGTCGGTAGCATTGGTGCTCAGCACGGAAAACAAGATCGACGGAAAAAAACAAACCAAAAGAAAAAAAAAAAGTGTATAATCACTTCAAAAAGCACTGAATCAATCCAGACATTTTTGATTCACTTCGGAAAGCACTGAATTATTCCGGAAATGTTTGGAATCACTTCCGCAAGAACTCAATCCCTTCGAAAAGCATTGAATAATTTTGAAAAGTTTGGAATTACTTCACAAAGTACTGCATAACTTCAGAAAAGATTGGAATCACTTTACAACAACGTAAAATCACTTTGGAAAGTACTAAATCGTTGCGCAGTCATTTCCGCAAAAAAACGAATCACTTCGAAATTAAAAGAATCACTTTGAAATGCACTAAATCACTTCAGAAATGTTCGAAGGAAATACTGAATAACTTCAGGAATGTGCGGAATCACTTCGGAAATACTGGATCGCTTCAGAAAAGTTTGTAATCACTTCGGAAAGTACTCAATCAATCCAAAAAGTTTGTAATCACTTACGCAAGTACTGAATCACTTCGAAAATAATTGAATCGCTAAAGGATACGGAACATTGTAGAAGTGATTCAGTACTTTCCGAAGTAGTTTATTGATTTATTCGATAAGGCTCAAACAAATTAACTTTACAGAGCCGAGGATTCTTGGTCACTATACAATACATCTTAAAACTATAGTCAAAAGGTACAACACAATAAACACTTTATATTCCGCTATCCAAAAAGCCTCCTTCATCAGAACTGGAGCCACTTCCAGTGGTTTAATAGTATGACAGTTACGCCAACGGAGGTCAGAGCGCTTCCATTGCAGCAATGGACGCAAAACGTGGTCAGCACTCACACACTCATCACGAAGCGGTTGCTTTCCAAAGTCGACGACGAATCGACCGAAAGAACTGGTGATGAAGAACAATGAGGAGACACATCGAGAGTGGTCTCCTTTTGTCGACAGCCGAGTGAACACTGACTTTCTGAAGTGATTCCGATTTTTTAAAAGTAATACTTACTTTCTGAAGTAGTTTGGAACATTAATGAAGTGATTCAGTTCTTTTCAAAGTGATTCCGATAATTTCTGAAGTGATTTTGAACCTTCCAAAGAGGTTCCTAATTTTTCAAAATTAAGTCAGTACTTTCCGCAGTGATTTAAAACTCATCTGAAGTGAACCAGTACTTTTCGAAGTCATACCGAAAATATCTGGTTGATTCTGTTATTTTAGAAGTGAATCCGATTTTTTCCGAAGCGATTCAGTACTTTCCGAAGTAGCTCCGAATATGTCTAATGTGGGGTAGTACTATCCAAACAGATTGAGAATTTTCCTTAAGTGATTCCGATCATTTCTGAAATGGATCCATACTTTCCGAAGTTATTTCGAACTTTCCTCCGAACACAAATTCTATCTTCTCCAAGCGGGTTCAGCATGTTTTTCTGATTTTTCCACATTTTTTAGGCGATGCTAAACTTTTTGGGGGGTGATACAATATTCAAATGAGTGTTGGAATACTTCCCTATGCGAGTCTATATTTATGACGGGTAGTTTATATTTCTTCTGTGTTCAGGTAATTTTGGAGGTTTAAACACAGCCTCAGAGTCGGCATACGCGCTTCAATATCACGGCCAAAAAAACACTCAAATATCTTAAACACACAACAACAAACACCCACTGTATTTCACACTGAACATTGCATTAGGTCCTAAGTAACATTGACAGATTCTCTTCGTCGACTTTCCCTTAGTATGCTCACGGCCGTGTTAAGACATTTCCAGCTATTTTCTGCACACAGATCGATGAAAGAAAGCTATTATCTAGCTTCTAATACCACCAACACGACAATAAACGGTTCTGTACCCAAGTTATTAACGAAAAAGAAAATCGATGAAGAGAATTGATCTAAAGAGAGGACCTAAAGCTTTGTTCCGCTTGATTTCTCGTTTAACTACAGATACCTTTATTCTTCCCACATTCGTCCCACTTCCTTATTGTTTATCTCCTACATCGTTTCAAATAACACTTCTTCTTCTTCTTCTTCTTCTTCTTTAGTGCTGTTGGTCATTCCACAACCACTCCTTCACGTTCCTCAGCTTCCTTCTGCTCACTTTTCTTCACTGTTCACACTCCAGTCGGTTTATTGCCTTCGTACTTGAACCCTCGACTTGGTTCTCAAGCTGAGCGAATTCTTTGTAACATCTCAAATTGTGGAGGAAAATGCATTTTTCATAAATTTCAAGTTCGAAGAAGCGAGGCGAGGCAGGCATGGAAAATCATTTGCATTCATTTCGTGCATTGATTTACATTCATTTGCCTCTAACTTTTTTTATCAACAGCATTCCGCAAAATGATGTAGGAGAAATGCAGGTAATGTCGGCCTAAGTGTCCCTAATTTGGGCCCATACATAAATTCAGCAATCGACTAAATTTTCAATAGCAATAAAAAATATCCATTAGTAACGTCCCAATAACGCGTTCATCTAGATAAAATTGATGAATAGCAGATTTTTAGCGATGGGCCCAATCTTAGATCCATAGGCCAACATTAGAGACATTTTCCCTATATAGCTTTTGTAGCTTTTGTTATTAGCTACAACTTTTGTTAACAAGTCAAATACGTATCTCTGATGCATGATGAACCAGAGCGAACAGAAGTCACTACTGTTTTTCAGTGAATGTATTTTACATTCACTGAAAAACAGTAACAAGTTCTGCCCGATCCAGTTCGTGATGCATAAGAGATGCAGATTTGAGTTATGAGTAAATAACAAAACCTACAATAGCTCTATACATAATTTTGCGGAATGCTGTTGATGAAAAAAGTTAGAGGCAAAGGATTGTAAATGAATGTATGAAACGAATGTACATGATTTTCTATGCCTGGGCGAGCGTATATTGACGAATAACTCCGAAGATTTAAAAAGAAATTCCCTCCTCGCTTAATTTCCTCTACCGGGAGTAGAACATATTGTATGATGGAAATAAAATTAAATGCTTCTTATGCAAGACGGAGGGGCACCGGATGACTTCCTGTCCCAGACGAAAGACCCGTAAGCAACCAGAAAAATTTCATCAGGACACCATTCTGGCAATAGAAGTTCAAAACGTTTTCTCGCTTTTCTTGATGTTTTAGAGGTTGTCTTCGAAAAAGTAGCATAAAATGTGATTCGGCATATTTTGAATTGTACCTGAATTTTCATTAAGCTGATACATCGAAATCCTTACTTTTTGCAGTCGCATGATTACGGGTTTATGTCTGGCAAATACTCAAAGGTTCATTGCTTCAACCTTGAAGAGATATAATTGGTTTTCTCGCAGGCTACCTTAAAAATTGTGTTTGAGCTATTGGGAATTTTAGACGCGTTCGATCAATCCAACAATCTAGGAAATTTATGACATCATTAAAATGACAGCTGAATAAATGCTGCAGATTGACCTACAGGCAGAAGATAACAATACTACCATGATTTCTCTCAATACAGTACCCTTTCGGTTCAAAAATCTTCTTTTTTGTAAAGCCCTAAAAAAAATGTAAAATTGATATACACCCAACTAACATTTTCAGCTTTGCAAGCCAACTTTTCCAGCGTTGTGCTGTAAAGTAGCTGAAAAGAAGTTGCAGATACAGCTACAAGCAAAAGTTAACGAATTAGTTTTGGAGAGCGTTTACTCAACTTTTTCACAACCATTATTCAATTTGTCAGTCGCACTGAATAACATCAGCCAATAAACACTAATGTCACTTCTATACACACACTAATCAACTTTCCACTTGTAGCTGCAAAACAAAGCTAACAAAGTGAATTTATTACTCATTTGACGGCTTCTACACAACCAACAACTCTTGCTGAATAACATAAACATCAAAAGTGCTTTTTCAACAACTAAACAACCTGTACTCAGCGTATAAACTGTGTTAGAGCAACTTCGGAAGCATTTTCACAGTCAACTAGGTTTATTTTTAGACGTGTGCAGTTTTACAGCTTTTACTCTGCTGTTTTACAAAGCTGAAGTAACTAGTCGAGAAAACTGCTTCATGTGCACTATTATAAAGCCTCTACTCAGCGATTTTGTTGTAGAAGGGCATGTTGATTTGTTTACATCAGTTCAAAGTGTTGGCGTAGCACAGTTGGTAGTGTCAAGGTTTGCCAATGCGGACGTCTCGAGTTCGATTCCAGGATCCGGTGCAGGGTTAAATAATTTGGTGATGATTTGTTACTAATTTCGATTAATTTGGTTCACAGCAAAATAAACTCAATAAATTCCTTCATAAAAAAGCGTAAACAGTATTTAACCCGGCTTCAAGAGAAAGCTGTGTAGTGATTATGTGATAACCGGGAAAAGGTTGAATTAAGCGCCTTTCAAGTTCACACACAACTAAACAGCAGGATAACAGCTGTATAGAAGCGTTAATGGATATGCAATAAGAGCATGTCCCAACCATCCCAACAGCCATAAGTAGCTGACTAAGTTCGCCAGATTTGCTTGCATAGAGGTTGAGTAAAGGTTTCCTCATATCGTATAACGTTTGAATACAGCTTGAGGCTGTATAAATGAAATGAGTAAAGCGTTTACATTGCGAAAATTGTTAGTTGGGACGATTCCAGCTGTAGCATGCTTTCAATTTGAATGATTGGGATAAACAGCGTGTGCCTGTGAGTCAAGATGTAAGTCCAACATCGATATAATTTATAATATTCGGAATGCTTTACATCCGGATCACCTTGAGGGGCATAACAGTTATTCAAGGTCACATTTATAGAGTAGCTGCTGAATTACGAATAACAAAACAGAGCTCTCCAAAAAGACCTAATTAAATATCCACAAATATAATCACCCGCTTCGTTTTCTGCATTCTTCCAGTTCCACAAATCCCTGGACGATCTGAAAGCAGCCATCGACAACTCCGTCCTGCCGAGCATCTACGGGGGCTCCCTGTCGCTGGAGGAAGCCAATGACCGATTCCGCAAGCGCATCGCCCTGGAACGGGATCGTCTGCTGCTGATGAACGAAATTCAAATTGATCGCACCATTCCAAATCCCAATGCCAAAAGCTCTAACAACAACAACAACGCCGGGCTACAGAGTGACATCGCAGATGAGGCTGTTATCGGGAGCTTCCGGAAGTTGAACGTGGACTAAACAGATGTTTGATATAACGTGCGACAGCTTGTTAACCAGGGTATTGTAGTAAAGTAAAGAGGTTTAATGTACTAACAAAAAAAAAACAACAGATTAGAAGAAAATATTGTCTGTCAATTCAATGCTTCGAATTACTCAATTACATATCCACTAGAGTGATGCAAAATTTGAAATTTTCGCTCCACAATACTTAAACGATTCCAAATCGGATCCTGACTAACCTCTCAAAATTTGAACCCATTTGGTGAGAAACTGAGATGGCAAAAACCATTTGAAGTTTGTATGGGAATTACTATGGTAAAACCAAGATTTTTGTTCATGTCTATCTAATAATTCACCATATCGATCTGCTTCAAAAGCTTTCAACTGTACTTGTAGGAAATATTCCCAGCTACAACTTTGCTGAAGACCACTTTTTGATTAAATGCAAGGATAGAAAGTTATTAATGGTTCAATGCACTGATGTCTTATGATCATGCTCAATCAACTGCTCAGCAGGCAACATTGGTGTTTCTGGGGCGTTGAATAGGACACAAAAATTATGGCTACTATGTCACACTGCAAAATACAGTGTTGCCTACAGAACAGCTGCTTGATCATGTCATAAGTTTACCAATCTCTTAAATAATTAATAACTATTTCCTGTCTCGTTTTACATAGAAACGATCTTGAGCAAAGTTGTAGCTGAGAAAATTTTCTATAAGAATAACTATCGAGCTGTTTTGAAGCTCAGTATGGAAAAAGACTAGAAGGCAATGAACAAAAAGTTGAGATTTCCCATAGTAATTTACATGTAAACTTAAAATGGTTTCTGCGAAGTCTGTTTCTAACCAAATGAGTTGTAACTTTGGGAGGCTAATCACGACCCGATATGAAACCATTTAAGCACTGTGGAGCGAAAAAGTCAAATTTTGCATCAGTCTAATATCCACACCAGTGATTGCACCTTTTCCGATTTTTGCTTGTTTTTCGAGGGAGATAAATCCGCACTAATTTCCGTTCCTGGTTCGATGTTGACTCCTTCCTCGATGCTTGGTGTGGTCGATCCCATGTCCACCATCTGTCACTGTATTGCGAGGTAATCCGGGATGAGGCTCGCATCATAAGTCGCTACATCATTGAATCAATGTAGAGATTAGTATGAGATGGTGTAATATGCGAAGTGTTATTGAACGTATTAATGCTTGTCATTCAGGGCTATTCTGCGAATCGAGAGACTCTCTGTCACTCGTAAGATGACAACAGTCAGAAGTGGGGTGACAATAGTCACCTAGTGTGAGGAGACTCTCCATTTGATTTGCACGGAGAGTCATCTTACTTGTTCAATTTGTTCATCGCAAGAGGCCCCGGTGCGATGAGTGGCATCCGGATCGGTCAATTGTAAGGTCTTGCTGAATTTAGAAAATTTGGCTTGCTACAGGGTGAGTTTCGGTGCACTCAGCGGTTCCCACTTGACGACCCAAATGGAATGGCTCTGACACTTTTGGTTAAAATTTGACAGATGGAAAGTTATCGATTAACCCTGCTATCCGAGCATGGTTATTTCTGACAGACAAGAAGTTAAATTTTGACGACCATGGCTCGAAAACCGGTCGATCGACAGCACGGGGATTTTCGAACATAAGAAATAACTTTGGAAATGTCACTTTTAACCATGGTTCACAGCCTTAGAAAGAGCATCGCAAGAGCCTATTGGCGTGCAGATAAACCAACTACACTGTGCAACACTGATTTTCAGATTCTAATCCAGCTCATCCAGAGATTATGAGTTCAGATTCCGCACTAGGTACTCGACGTGTCGATTATATGACCGTCGTTCATCATTCCGTCCGTTCGAGTTTGTTGTTCGCTTTAGTTGCAGAGGATTTCAAGGATGGCGGTGCCATTTTCTTTCTCCATCGATCAGGACAACGACTTCTTTTCTGCACATCTGGAAGGAATCAGAAATTCAAATAGACATCGAGTCTGAATCTTGTGAAGCGGTCGAGTTTGCCTGAACACCGTATAGGTTTAATAACTTCCTGTTTCTCTTTCACCTTGCGCTTCGAAAATGAAAATTTAAACATAATCATCAATGTTATTATAACTTTAGGGTTCCCAAACTGGTAAAGTTTTTGGCCTTTTTTTGAACATGCTGCATAACGTATGGCACAGCTAAATCATTCGGCCTAGATTAAGATGTGCAGAGTTGAATACCCCTTGCCCTTGAATACCCGAGTTTTCAAAGTGCTTTATTGTGTGTAATACTAATTATCCATCGTAAACATTTGTTAAAGAGGATTTACAATGTGCAAGTAATATATCTTTGTTTTAATTACATTCGTGGCACAAGAAATCACAGTTAAATATTTGTTTTCAAATTAATTATTTAATTCTGAAAAACGTGATATATGCGAATCACTTTTCGTGAAAAAACAGCGATGATATAAATGGAGTTTGATAAAAACGAACTATGATAAAACCAATAACTCACTGTATTGATTGTAATATTTTAATATTAGAATTGTGTCCATCAAGCATCTACATGAGTTCGTTTCGATTAAGTCGAATGTCTCGATTTTTCATATCTCGATGAATTTAAGTTCATGCACTGTCGAAAATTTGACATAAGAGCGAGGCAATATTTTCTAGTAATGAACACTGAATGTTCATTATTCATTATTCATGAACATTCATATGTTCATCAGTGCATGACCTCATATCCATCGGTGCACTCGTCCATGTGACCACTTTTTTTTTCTATATGTCGATTGTTATCTCTGCCCCTTCAAACGGACTAGTAGCCTAATATTGTTCTATATCTCGATCTCTCTATATCTCGAAAACCCCTTCAATATCGAGATATGGACAGTTGACTGTATGGAAAAATAAGATAAAGATAATGTTAAAGATAAAGATAGAGATAAAGATAAAGATAAAGATAGAGATAGGAGATAGGAGATAGGAGATAGGAGATAGGAGATAGGAGATAGGAGATAGGGGATAGGAGATAGGAGATAGGAGATAGGAGATATGAGATAGGAGATAGGAGATAGGAGATAGGAGATAGGAGATAGGAGATAGGAGATAGATATAGGAGGTAGAGATAAAAATAAAGATATTCCTTGTTATTACCATATTATCCTTCTCACAAAGAAACTATTCATGTGCCTAACCAGTAAGTCAAAAAAGTCATGTTATCGTAGCAGCTGATTGATTAAATTTACGACCAATACAAAAATGATCCCAGTGTTCTTTTAGGGATGAATGATCTTAAAGGTTAAAATCCCTCAAAAATAAATAATCAAATAACAAACATCCAGTGTTTTTTTTTTTCATATCATCCTTTTGCCACCTCTGCGATATCAGCTGATAGCTGCGGCCAGTGTAACAAGAATGATTTTTTTTTATCTAGTTCATTTGTAAGGCTCAATCGCGTTAGCTTTACGGAGCCGATAATTCATTGTTCTTTGTTTGTAACAAAATTCACTTCATTCTATGTCTAGTAGGAGTTGCGCCGAATACTCGCGGCTTACTCGAGGTTAGAGGGGTACATTGTCGAAGGATAGGAAAAGGGGAGGATCTTGGGGGTAAGGTTTCGTTGTCTCACGAGAGCGATGTCGCCAGTATGAAAGTGTGGTTCTAGATTCGTCTGGAGTTTGACAAGAATGATATCTTTGTTTGCCATATATGATTTATAGGTTCATTTACTTTTAGATTTGTCATGAAAAAACATAATATAAAAAAATTTAATTTTACATTCTGAGTGCTACCTTCGTAGTTGAACACAGTTTAAGCAGTTCTAATCGCAATAAAAATATTGATTTTACACAATCCAAGTAAATCGAGAACAGTGGATACGGTGATTGATGATTCCAACACACGCCTTCGTTATGCGGTATGTAGAAAAAAAAACAAAACAGTTTCATTTTCAAGACTTATCCACGACTCGCTAAAATATAAACAGTGCTTCAATAAGGATAATCTCCATGGCTTGGTACCCATCATAATCATTATTTTATTCTGTTTTGAGTTTCAAGCAATCATACACACTTAATTGCATTCTCGATGTTCGGTACTTTTATTAGCGGACTATACTCGGCAAAACTATTAAATTGCTACACATTCGGCTATTTTACCATGTTTATACCGAAAACAGTAACGTGAGTAACTGAAGACCAGTATTTTCTAATATTATTTACTGTGTTTTGCTATTTTCATTACTGATATGTTCTGTAAACTTAAATTCTCTCCTGTGGCCAATTATTTCAGTAATAGCTCTTACTGACGTCTCGCTACTTTTACTAAAAATTCATCACTTCATTACCGAACGTTTGTTAAAATTTACTGAACAAACTGTTATTTTTGATTTCACGTGGAACATCTGTCAAAAACTTCAAAAGCGCGCCATTTTGTATTGCTAATTTTGTCGTACGCAGTGAACATTGAACTGTTTTAGTTTTTCTAAAAGTTTTCACTGATCTTTGTCTAAAAAAGGGAATATGGACGGAATTTTCGAGCGGATCGAACAGTGCGATGTAGGAGCGAAGGAAATACTTTGTAAGTACATTTACTTTCATTATGTTTTCTCCGTAGAATACTGCGACGGTAGACGACAGCATAATCTGTTTTTTCTGCCGGCGATCGGTTCCCGGATACTTGGAAGGCTTAGGACACCACTTATCTTGGCACATACAAAACGGGGACTTTCAAAAGGATGCAATTTTTTATGATTGCACCTTCCAGAGGTGTCATATGCGGTACACAAACCAAAAATCCCTCAAGCGGCACATTAAAGAGAAGCATCCGTTGCTGTCGGAAGCTTCTTCCCCAAAATTTAAGGAACTGCGGGAACCTCCTCTCCTTGAAGAGGTCTATCTAAGACAACATGAAAGTAACACCGGGGGTAAAGCACAACCGTCCGAGGAAATGCTTTCTCTCGATGAAATTAAAAAAATAGCTTCGTTGAGCATTTGTCGCTTAGCTGGTGACGTTGGGCTTCCGCAAACCAAGGTTTTGGAAACTATCAAAATTTGC